AATCATAGAGTAGGGATAAAATAGCATAGAAGTGTTTAGTATTTTCTTCTGTTAAAAGAGATCTCCATCTATCTCCATACTTCCCATGACACTCAGGACCACTGGCTCCCGTCAGGAACCAGACATCCAAACATGATTCTTTCCCTCAGCTCTAGGCGAGTTCTACAAAATCTCTTGCATTCAAGTACATTCCCTTTTCATACATTAAAAGCACCAGTGGCAAACGTCAGAAACATTCATCAAAAGGATGTATGAAAATTAGTCAGGAAAATAGTTAACACTGAAAATTTGGCAGCAGTAAAATTACCATGTACCTCCTTAGAATGGCTGAGCCAAAATGTAACTACTTTGATGAGAAATCTGCAACTCTCCCATCCAAATCACATAGTGATGAATCTGTAACTGTCACGTAATGCCATTGTGAAGGGCACCAAGGCATCTATGGTAGAACTGGGGGCTGGGGAAGGACTCCACGCTCAGAGTAAGGAGCCCATGGCGCCAGGCCTAGGGGCTTCACCTGCTCATCATGTGCCTAGGCAAGTTCCTCACTGAGCCCTAGTTTCTTCTGTAAAATGGGAAGGGACTCTGGCTGTCCTGAGGATCTCAAGAACACAAGAGCACCTGGCATGGAGGCCAGCAGGGTGGGTACTCAGTGAAGATTCTCCCATCTTTTTTCCTTTGCTAGATGAACATTTTTGAAGTTGTTCACCACCCACCCCACCCCCACGCTACTGCATTGGTTTTTCAATTTCTAAGAACAAAGGTAAGATTATTTACTAATAGATATTTTCCATAAGGCATATATTAAAAGTCAGAATTTTAGTGGAGAGAGCCACAAAGATATCTTGAAATAAAGAATGGAAATCTTTTTTGTCCTGGAAACTGAATTTTCAGTGGGCAGAGCGCTCCCTTCGGCTGGCACAGTGCGGAGTGTCCCAGTGGTATTTGACTTGGCTTCCCTTCTAAGAGGGCAGCTCTGTCCAGAATACCAGTCCAACACTAACTCGGCAACACCTGGCTTGGAGTGGAGTGAGCGCCACGACCTCATCTCTATAAAGCCCATATTTACACTCTCAGCAAAGCAGTAGCCAAATGTTCCACGTGGAGGAAGTGCAGCCCCATGGCCCAGTTGAGTCTGCATGGCTCCCTGGAGAAGCAGTATGGGGCAGGGGAGGAACACAAGCCCTGGCATGGCAAGCCTGAGGAGGGGGTGTGGGCAAACAGGAACATGGCCCCAAGCCCCAGGGCTGAGCCCTGGTAGGTGCTGGAGGTGAGCAGGTCTGGGTGTTTAACCCCCTCAGTGCTCCCTTCCTTCTCTCCGCTGTTCTTGATGGGGATGGGTACGCAGGAGCACAGCCTCCCAGGAAACAGCATCCGCTTCATTGGCTGCTGAGCTGGTGCTCGCTGCCCACAGCAGCACAGGGCTGTTCTGGTGAAGCAGAGCTGGAGCTGGCAGCCAGGCCAGCCCTAAGCGTCAGTCTCTACCCAGGTCCCAGTGAAGAAATGGGCTTACAAATCGCCTGAGCTTTCAGCACAGTGACCCCTCCCACGAGGAAAATGTAGCCCTGAGGGTATCAGAGCTTGAGCCTGGGAACTAAGAAGCGGGCCCCCTGGGGAGGGGTGGCAGAGGGGCTGCCTCTTCTCCCCTGGCTGTACCATGGGGGGAGTAGCAGAGTCCTTCCTGGCCCTGAGCCAGAGTAGACC